GAATCTGTGGTAAACGAGTAGAAACAGTTCAAATGGGGTAAAAAGAAGTATATGAGGGAAAAAGCTGCATCTAGTACCGATCATTCCTTTTACAGAATAGTTTCATTGAACTAATTCGTTTCGGGAAGGCATAACTCTATCTTTTGTTTAAAAAATTATGAAATATTAATTGTGGAACACATGGGGATATGTGATGAAATCCAAATCAGATATCTTCCTTGCCTTTATAAAAATAAATTGTTTACTTTGGTTATTCGAATCTAAAAAAACTCTCCAAGAATTTCAAATATTTTTCAAACAATTCCCATTAAATGCCATCCAAACTTTATTTCTAAGAATCCTTAAAATGACTCCAAGGATAATTTATATCCCACCAAACCATCAATCCAAGATCACAGCACATAATCTTTTATTATTTATATACCAGTAAAAATTTAATGATTTTTACTCGTGCCTAAACGCATTTTAAGCTTTACGAAAATCATTTCCTTTTGGGATTTATGTGAGCTGTGTGTGTGTGCCCACCACACAAAACATTTATGTTCGAAGGTATTTTGTCATATCTATGAATTTTGGTGATAACTCAAAATGATTTATGATACCAAAACATATTTGAAAAAAAAAACTAAACAGTTTGAGTTGATTTTTGTTGAGGACGTTTCTGTGGTGGATTTCTCAATGAAATCCCCCCTTCATCTAACGATCATAAACCTTAATCAAAATCAATACTCCGTGAAAAAATGCTGTTGTTGGTGTTATAAAAATTAAAGAAGACTAATTTTTTGGGGTTTTTGGAAGGGGATGAGGAATGAGAATAATAAATAAATCATTTATGGTGTCCCTGGGTGGAAAAAAGGGAGGGGAAATGGAGCAGCTAACCAACAATGTCAATAGCGGACAAATTTGGTTCTGCAGCAAATCAAACTTCAAATTGATGATTGATTTCTTTTTTTTTTTTTTTTTGAGAATCTTTTGGCACCTTTTTTTCTTAAGATTTCTGTCCATTCAGTTCTCTAAATATTTTCTCTTATATTCTTCTTGTGTCAATGTTTATATTGTGGTTGTTGTTATTGTTTTGGTATTTTTTATCTTTCAAACATTTTGTTTTTTGTTTATAGTTGTCTCTTTTGTTACTTCAATTTATGATCACCTTTTTCGTTCGATTTTTTTAAATGTAAACTTAGTCACCTCAACCGATCTACCTGGTTTGTCAAACATACATACATATATGTTCTTATGTGTGTGCGTATGTTTATGTGTGCCTTGTGTTTTTGTTAATGTTTGTTATGTGGTTATTCCATTAAGTCCATAAAATCTTTGGGATTGCAATTAACATTTATTGCCCTGGCATTATGTTTAATCCAAGTGGTCAATATTATTTGTTCGTATAATGAATGAAAGTATGTGCAAGCAAGACGGGAATAAATCACAGCACAGAATCTAAATAAACAATAAATATCGTAGAATTTATGATTTAGTTAATGGTTAATTTAAGAGGATAATTTGTGTGTTTACATATTTAAATTAATGACAAAAATATTGAAATTCCGCAACGAACGTACTAGTTCAAATAAAATATGTCTCGTAGGCTTGATTTCGTTTATAAACTAAATAGTCCGAGTATACAGATGACGGTTTGATATTATAATATTCTTCAGTTAACTCGACTAAAGGAACAAGGTCATTCATTGAGCTCATGATTCCTTTTTGGTTCAATCGTTCATTGGTACACGTCATATAGGTCAATCAATGAACGAGCAGCTTTAGATGAACGATTGCATCAAAAGAAACTAGGTGAACGAGAGTAAAATTGAACATCTGGAGCAAAGGAACTAGATCAATGAAAGAACAAGAACTAGTACAGATCGATCGTTTTCCGGAACAGTTTCTTCTAATTGAAAACTAATTTAAATCTTTGGTGAAAGAACTATCTACATCCCTTCATAAACAATGTCAAAAATTTTGTTTGGTGTTTTTCTGTTTGATATTTTTCCGGTCACTCCACTAAAGGAACTAGGTCATTCATTGAGTTCCATATTTTGTTTTAATTCAGTTGTTCATTGGTAAAGGACATAGAAATTGGCCAATGAATTTATTTATAATTGAACAGTTGGAACAAATGGAACTATTAGCGAACGGGAGGAGTTTCTTTATAGACAAAAGTGCCGGACCTATTACCGATCGTTCCTTTTGCTGATTAGTCCCTCTGCACAAGTTCCTTTCGTAATGACTCAGTTCGAAATGTATTGAAATAATTTCTATTTCTATTTCTGTTTTGTATTTTTATTTAATTTGGAAATACGAATAAAATCGAATGTACCGAAGGAAAGGTTTTGAGTAAGAATTCGTATGTTTATTGGAACTATATTTAGTTGGTCAAATGGGTATCGATTCCTCTTCGTAAAACATCAAACATCTCATGACGAGTTTCTGTATTTTCTAATAACTCAAACTTTTTCTTATTCAAATAAACTCATTTGAATTTAAATTTAAAATTCGAAATGTTTCACTTAGAATTTGAAAATTGCAGTACAAATTCGAATTTTTCTCAAATTTATAATTCGAACAACATTCGGGATATAGCAAGTAAAAATTATATATTTATTTCATTTTTAATTTCAAATTTGTCCATTTGTAATTTATAATTTTTTAATTAAAAACTCGATTTATTACAATTGATAATCGAATTATACAATTTGTAATTCAAAAAATTTGAAATTTAAATTACAAGTGGAATAATTTTCCAATTTTCACTTTTTCTAACTTAAAATAACACAGATTAGCAACTCAAAATATTATATTTGTATTACGAATTGAAACCATTTTAAATTTGATTATTTTTAATTTTATTCGAATAATGAACGTAATATTTCGATATTCAGTTGATATTCTCTACTATTTCGAATCATAAAACATCATTTGAACATCAAATAGAATAATTCGAATTTCAAATATAAAAATTCAGATTGTTGATCAAATAATTCCAACATCTGTAGTTATAATTAAAATTGATAATAGAGTTATTTAATCAAATTCAAAATATTTGAAATTCGATTCACAAATGGAATAATTCGAATTTCAAATGAAATAAATACAAATGCAAACATTTAAATTAATATGATTCGAATAATAAATGGAGTATTTAGATTTTCAATTGATATTCTCAATTTTCATATTGAAAGGAATACATCGAATTTCAAACAGAAAAATTCCGATTTCAAATGCAAAAATCAAATTAATATCAATATATATATATGGACATTTTTCTATATTTAGTTGATATTCTCAAATTTCGAATCATAAAAAATCATTTGAACATTCAACATTGTTGACAAAATAATTCCTATACATTTATTATAAAAATGTATAATATTTGAAATACGATACACAAATGGAATAATTCGAATTTCAAATGAAAAAAAATCCGAAAATTTCAAAATTCGAAATTCGAGTAATTTAATTTGCAAAAAAATCAAATTAATATAATTGGAATATGTACTCTAGTTATTCGAATTTCGTATTAAACAAAATTCGAATTTCAAATAATGGTATTTTCAAATTGATATATTATAAATGAAATAATTCGAAATTCAAAATAAGTTTTACAAATTTTCTGCGATGTATTTCGAATTGTATCGGATATTATTAAAATGGTGTAGATGGCGGAAATTTGTATTGAAATGTTTGAATTATAAATGAAATGTTTCGAATTACAAATAAAACATTTCAAATGTCATTTAAATATAATTCAAATACCAAATGAAATAATTTTAGTTTCAAATGCAAAAACACACAAAATTTAAATATTCTGAAATTCAAAATAGGTAATTTGGAATTGGAAATCTCAATTTTTTTTCTAATTTTATCAGAAAATTATTTCGAATAATTCGTATTTTAAATGCAAAACTTTAAATTATTTATGGAATACGAATTTTGTTTATCAAATAAAATTAAATCTTTCGAATTGCATTCGATCGATATTATTCGAATTACTGGGGTAATCTAAATAATAAGAATTTCAATACTCACATAAAAATGAAATATTTTAAATTGTATCCGATTTTATTCGAATTACGGGTGTAGTCCATATTATGTCATATTTAAGGCATAAAATGGACCAAAAATGTTTTTGACAGATCAAATGCCATAGAACTAACAAGGTTTCCGTTAGAACAAATTCTTCCGCATTTCTTGAGAGTTCGAGAAAAGGATAACACTGAACTATGTGAACGAAAATAAAAGGATCGACTTAAGAGAGATTCAAATGAACTATCTCGAAGTCGGAAGCATATGGAACGAAGGAACTAGTTCCTTTTTCCCAAAAAATGAACTCTAAGATATAGAAGATAATTATTCTGTCCAAGACCTTTTAATAAAGTCATCCAGGCAGACCAGCTGGATATCTCTCAATTTTGCTGTCAAAATCCATTATTTTGAATTGACTTCCATTGTGAAAATGAAAACAATGTCTACATATTTGAGAAAAAACAGCTGTCAATTCGGTTCTCACTTTTGCGGGCGAAGAAAGTGAACTAAGACAACAAAATAGGGACACCCTATAAAATATTCGATTACAAGAACCCGGGATTTGGAAATTATAAGCAATAGTATAAAACAGAGCAGAACTTTTCTTGGTCCTTTGAATTTCAACGTTATATCAATATGTTGCTCTTTTAAGTCCCTCTTAAATTGCAAAAAAATTATTCGATCCCAAAATAAAAAGTAATGAAGTTAGAAAAACGCAAATGAGGACAACTAATAAAAAAAATGGACTAGCCTAGTTAAGGTTTGGCCGTATTTTTCATCCCTAGAGATTATTTTAAGTGCAGAGAAAACTGTTTCTCTTTAAGTCTCTCTTAAATTGAGGATATCTCTATAGGGGAACAAAATCTGTTCTACTTAAAAATTAAAGAAATTACTTCAAACTTTTTTCCAAAACTTAAATATTTTTAAATGAAAATTAAAACAAAATAAATCAAAATTGGTTGTTTTTCACTTACCAGGTGCTGGCTGCGATGGATATGTCGGCTTCTTCATCCAATCATAATATTGATGTGATTTAATGGGCGATGAACGATTGTTGTTGTTGTGATTTATTGTATTATTATTGTTGTTATTATTAGCCGTCGATGGACTATTGTTATTGTTAATTATCAAATGATGTGGCGATGATGAAGAGGCTGGAGCTCCGGGGCTCGATATTTCACTGCCACTCACTGTGATCGGTGGCGATGGCAATCCCTCGGTTATGTGATGTTGAGCCTGTTGCTGTGACTGCTGTTGCTGCTGCTGTTGTTGATGTTGCTGCGAATCGCCAATACTGCTAACAGTCTCATTTAATTGTGTCGTACTGCCAGAGGCTGGACCTGCCGATGTTGTACTACTGGCAATAGCCGACGATGATGATGGTGTTGCGCCGCCCGCACCAATGGTGCCGTTAAGCAACTGTTGATGCTGATGGGCCAGCAATTGTTGATTTTGTGTGAAATTTTCCGCTGAGGATGGGGAATGCCACTCGGAGGCAGCAGCAGCTGCAGCATTTGTGGCCTGATGATACATGGCATGGGGATTATAATACATTTGATGGTGGACAGCAGCGGCATGTGTTGTATCCATATCGCTGAGATATTGATGATTGGGTGGAGTGTGATGGTAATTTGCGGCCCATTGCCAGGGTTGTCCGGCGGAATAGGTTAAATTGGCGCTGTGTTTTTGGGGATAGTGAAAGGTGTTGAAGGAGGAAACCATGATGGTTGTTTTTTGGGGGATTGTTCACGCGGCCTTTGCAAATATTAACAAAATTGAGGTTAGGAATAGTTTGTCACTGGGTTGATTTGTTTCTTGGTTGGCAAAGGGACACTTGGTGTTTTTGCTTTTCGTGTAGTTGTTGTTGTATTTATTTATTTTGTTAATATATTTACAAACGTTTTACATTTTTTTATACATTTATTTTTTTTTCAATTTTTTCTATTCCATTTAACACTCAATTGTTGTTCATTTCTTTTTGTTTCTTGTCTTGCACGCGTTGTTGTCTTGGTTTCGTTTAATCCAAAATGTTTTTTCTTTTCTTCTTCTATGCTTCTTCTTATTATTATTGTTATTTTTGGATGATCCTCTTTGGTGGGGGGATTCAAAACGAAAGTCCGTTATGTGTCAATTATTTGTTGTTATTATTTTGCTGTTTTGTCACCTGTCACAACAATGACAATTCACTAAATTTTTGTTTAATTTGCTTTAAGCTCTTTGAAGTTACTCTTTTCCTTTGTTACACGATTTCTCTTAATGAGCACTACAATTATGCTTGAGAGAGATTTATAGGTATGTGGGAGTAATTAATTGATTGATTGATTTATGCAAATATTGCCATATATGAGATAATCCACTTTTAATAATCCAATTATTATTTTTTTATTTAACTGATATTGTTTTCTTTTGTTTTGATATTGTTGTTGGTTTTTTTATTAATAATTGCAAATAATTTATTGCTAATTATATTGTAAATCTTCTACTTAGTTGTTGTAGTTTCTCTTTTTTTCTTTTGGTTAATTGTATTATTAAATATTGTTTTATATTTTTATAATTTAACCGCCGTAAAATTGGTTGCCGTTGATGAGCTGTGATGGGTTTTAAAGAAATAAAACTTTCTTCTTTTTGCCGTCGTCGTCGTTGTCGTTCTTCTTGTATCGGTCGTATGCCTCTTCACTTGTTTGCGTATCATAAAATACTGAATTGCTTGTGGCAGCACACGAACTAGACTGTGGCTACGTTAATATCACAGAGAGCTCGCTCGCTCATTCGTTTCGATTGTGTGATATGGTGGCAACAGAACAAGCAAACAACAACAAAACATAACACGCACGATAAGCAATAGCATACAACTGCCGAACTTGCTTGCCTTTGACGTTCAAAACAGAGACTAACAGACAAAATCGCGCACACACGCACATACAGAGTAACAATGGTGGTAGTCGTCGTCGTTTGTTCGTTCCTTTACGTCGTTTCATTTACTGATGATGACGATGATATGGTGGTGTGGATGATAAAAACTCGTCGTAAACCATGGCAGCTCGGTGGCAACAACAGCAATGCTCTTGAAAACAAAGCGTTTTCTGTTGCTTTCAACCACCAAGCAAATGACAGGTAAAACGTCATCTCTTTTACTCCACACAAAATAAATAAACTCACATTCTCTCTCTCCCTCGCACACACACACAGTCATTTGTGTTGTGGGGAGCTATTGCCTGAACACGCCTCCGCTGACTTTGTGAACAACAAAAAAATCAAGATGGCCTTTGTTAAGTTTGGGGCGTTGTTCTATCTCTTTCTTTCACTTAGTTTTTTTTATCACATTCACCCCTATTCACAAAAAACAAACAAAACTCCTCCCCCATTTCAGAGGAGAGGGGTATTTTTTGTTGGTTTTTGAAGAGTAAGCCTTTGTGTTAGCCACCTTACCTTTTTTTGACTTATTAGCCGTCATGGCGTTTGTTAATAGAATTTAGCTGCAGCAAAAAATTAGCTATGTATAGAGGCGTTTATTTCCCTTCCGCCCCCTTCTTTGGAAATAATATTTATCCGAAATGAGGAACGGCAGCCCGTTGGCTTTTGACTTTTTAGACGTCATTAGTTATACGACGTAGACGATATAGTAGGTTAATCATCCCGTTTGTATGTCTAAGGCTGTAGGCTGCATTCGAACGATTTCTCCGGATGAAATAAATAAGATGTTTCGAATTCTAACAATATGTTGTACACATTTCAGAATAAGTCAATTTCAATATGACATTAAAATTCTGGTTATCTGCATTCAATTTAGAGTTTAAACAAATTAAATTTTCACTAAAAATGAAGAAGAAAAGTGAATCCGAAATGACAATAAGTTGCATGGATGATTTTGACCCTAACTATTATGCTGAGACAATTAATTTCTCGTAGGACCAAACCCGTTTCAGACAATTTGGAGTCGATGTGCACTGGTGCGAACGATAATTCTCGTATGGAATAACCAAGTTCATCCAAACGTTGCGCATTTAATGTTTATTTCAAACTTACATTAAGGTTATGGGTACCTCCCCCATAAATTGGTCAAAATTTTGGGGAAATTTAATTTTATAATAGAATGGTCTATCCGATTTGAACCAAACTTTGCACAACCTATTACCTTTACTAGGCCTAGATCAAGTTGAAGGCATCCATTGGTCCACTAAATGCTATCGGTCAAGATATTCCTTAGTTTTTAACCTGCTTGGTGGTCGAAAATAAGGATATTTCCAAAAATCTCGGGGCATCGGGGCACATTCGTCAATCGCTTTTTCGATATGATGCTCTCACTGTACACCACTAGCTTCGATACATAGATATGGAATATAAAAATAAAAAACTTTGAAATCTCTAGCTAATAAATTTATTTAGATACACGGTTTTTTGTATTTTCACAGATGTTTTTGTTATATTTCTATTCCACTTCGTAAGTATTTCGTTTATAAAATGTTTCAATTTTTAAGGCAGTATTATTAAAAGGTTGTTAATTTCAATGTATATTCTTATAAAAATAATTAAAAATATAATGTTTTTAGAAGATTGTTAGGAAAAAATTATAAAAACTCTAAAAAGTACCTTCGGGGCAGTTTCGACATTTTGAAGTGGGGCACATTCGGCCATATACAGACAATGCAATATTATTTCCTTAAAATGTTTTTGAGTTTGTCTTTAAAAATAATGTTTTAATATGGTTTGAAATTACATATATAAGAAAAAACCTCTTTGTATTAACAAAAATACGATAGAAAAAAGCTATTTCTGATGGCACTTGTGGCCTTGGGACGTCAACGTCCGCCGATAGAAAATATAGCCTTAAGTCAAACATTGAGTCACACATTAAAACAAAGTAGAGCCTTTAGAGGATCTGAATTTCAACCAGATTAATAGCAGTGATAAATACCAGGCTATGACTATGGTGCCGAATGTGCCCCATCAAATTCCGAAGCTACATCGGGTAGGGACACATTCGGCGAATTTGACTTTTTTCTAAACTTTTTTCTATTTTAAGCAAATACTAATTTATTATATATTTTTTGGAACTATTTTTTTTTAATTAAGTATCAGAGGACAATAATCAGCCATAAAGTGTTTATATCTGTTGAGTAAGTTCTGAGATATAGGGCTCTACTCTACAACATTTTTCAAGACGTTCTTTATACAATTTGACAAAAAAGTTTATGTTTAAATTTACTGAAAAGAAATTAAGTTTTAAAAAATATTTTGATTTTGATATGCAAGATAAAAAAGAGGACCTATCGTCACCTTATCAAATAAGGTGATTATAAGTCTTCAATACGATGCTCGTTAATTTAATTTCTTAAAAAATGGTACCCTCTTAAATTGTCAGCTAGAATGTTGTTTATTTGGGAAAATGAAATATGCACAGACACTCAGGTTCGAAAACTCGACTTAAGGGGACCCCCCCCCCCATTCTCGGGGTCAAAAATTTTTTTTGATTTAATTCGAATCTACACTAATTCAAGAATATACCTACAAAATTTCAAGTGAAAATCTCAAGAACTCTTGAAAATATAGCCGATTTATTGTGTCAGCATCAAGTGACGGCTAAAGGGCTTCTCAAACTTTAAACGCGTTTTTCTCTTTTGCGAATGGCGGGCACGATAACTCAAAAACTAATAACCCAATCGATTTCAAATTTTTACACGTTTCTCTGTGAGTGTATAGCTATCGTATGAATCGGATAAAGCCAATCGGTGAAGATCTTCCTTATTTTTTATCTTAGTTTTTGGTCAAAAATCGGCGATTTTCCAAAAATATTTTTTCAAGGTCCGTCATTTTGTTAATTTTAGAGCGAAGTCAATAATCCTAGTTCATACGAGAGCCAGACGTGTACTCTTTCTAACACCGTTGGAATTTTCGGATTCCGATGTTCCAGTGAGGAGTTATCATGCCCGCCATCAAAAATAAGGACTTTTCTTTAATCACAAAAAACAACAACAAGACAACAACAAAAATTTTTTGTAAATTATTTTTCTTCCTTTTTAAATCTTCAAATATATATGTGCAAAGTTACAAACCTTAACAAGCATTGGTATTCATTTACCAGCCCATTTAAAATCTTAAAAATAAAAAATTGAGAATGGGGGGGTTTCCCTTAAGTTAAATTTCAGCAGGGTCGAAAATTTTCGGTAATACCAATTTTTACCATAAAAAACTTCGGTTAACAAATGGGGACACAAAAATTCAAAATATTGAAAATTGAGGCGGAATCTTTATATGGGGGTATATCATAACCATGATCTGATATCAGGATTTCAGAGTTACGAATTAGCATAAAGTTATAGCCCATGTGACATGTTCCGAGAGTTTTTGAATTCCCATAATTTTTTTTAGATTCGAAATAATAGCTTTGTTCAATATGTTACGAACTGTATTCAATAACATATGTTTTTTGGTGGATTAGCTATTTGTTTAACCAAGAAAAACTGGCTACTGGCTTCTTATTTTTCCTGCTTTCACTAGAAGAATACTGGGACATATTAAACGACATCGCCTTAAAGACGCATCAGATCAACGCATAAGCTTGAATCTGTGTAAGTATTTCGATGTTTGCAAAGCAATGCCCTACATACTAAAGTTGCACAACCAATCCTGAAATGGTTGTGTAAATCGTAAGCGTTTGCAGCGCGTAGGAATCTTTTATTTTTAAAAATCGGTCATATCTGCCATATCGAGCTCACAAAATTCTA